AGCTAAAAATTAGGTAATATCAAACTTAATGATGCTTAACGAAATCTCCATAATTATTAGAAAAACGTTTCATTAAAATGTTTTAAGGCTATTTTATAGCATCTTGAAGTTTTATAGCCATACAATGTTGCGGCAAATAAACGAGAACTACGTTCGAGTTGTAATAATAATTGCAGAAATAGCATTTTTATCACTGGCACCTAATTATTAATAACTGAACTGGGTCCGTCCGACTTTTATTGTTATACTTGACAAAACACGCCTCTACGGCAAGAATAATGGTCATTACTCCGTATAATGTCCAGTTATTCTACCGTTTGTTGGCTTGAAGTAGGTGAGAAAATTAAAATTGCATTTCTATTGACCTCCGAAAATTTAGGGTTAAAAATATTCCCAACAGTTTTAATTAGCATTTACTCATTCTCATAGACAACCCACACATTACCCATGCATTTTGAGGTACCGTTTGGGTAGATTTATTTCGGTCTTAGGCGATAAATTTCGTTAATATTCGCATAAATACAATTTAAAGCCCGCGAAGCGTTTTAATAATTATTGTGCGGATTATCATCTGTTGACCGTGAGCCCCGGCATCTGTTTGTCTATAAATTTAACGGACGGGCGAACGCATTGGGTCCAAACTTTTTGTGTGAAAAGAACTTGATTTATCAGCTTCAAAGTACAATCGGTGTTTTATCTTATTGTCACGGATTCCGGGTTCACTAGAACTCATTTCACAAACAGTAACAACTTTTATAGTTGCATTGAGTGGCACACCGTTTTTGCAAATTCCAAAGTGGACCTTATAGCCAGTTGGAAATCAAGAAAATTTATCTTAATAATTAAATCGGAGAAAAGTCAGAGAATAAGTTTACAAGGAGAGATTCAAAAGATATAAAAAAGAAAAGGATCGATTATTAGAGTAAAGACAAGGAGATGGGAAAAAAAAGAATTGGATAAAGCAGAAGACAAAAACAGAGCCCGAGAAAAGGAATTATTGAAGGTAACAGATCTCGGAAATGCTGAAGAAGTAAAAAATGTAGTAAAGAAATTCTAAAAGAAATAAATTAAAGATATTTTGCATTTGAAATTGAGAAGAAAATGAAAAGGAGAAAGTGAAGGAAAACAGACCTTGCAGATAAAAAAGAAAGGGATCGAACTAGAAAATAATTCGGACAAAAACATCTTGCAAATGAAAAAGGCAAATTCCTAACTAGGGAGAAATATTGGAAAGAAGGAAACTAAGAAAAGAGATATTACAACAAAAAAAAAAACATCAAACATCACCAAAAAAAGCAGAGGAGAAGATATATTGTCCGACACCAAATTTCCATCCTCTTTTATCGTCACAATCCTCTGATGAGAGATTTCTTTCACTCATGGACTTTTGTATGGTCTTCCGCCATTTTAGTTTTGGCCTTCCTCGTTTTCTTCTACCTGTTGGCTGCCAATGCACCATTTTTCTGGGCCACCTGGCATTTGACATACATTCTACTTGTTCGTACCAGGTAAGATGTTTCCTTTCAATGTCCTGAACTATCGTGGTTTCATTCTCATTTGTTGTTTTATATTGTCGTTTCTTATTCTCTCACTTCGTGAGATTCGTATTGATCTTCTTATAGCATCCATTTCAACTGCTTCCACTTTTTTCTTTTGTCTGTCTGTAATTCTCCAAGTCTCGGCTCCATATAGAAGGCTGCTCTCTATCATTGTCTCGTATGTATTGACTTTTCTCTTCTTTGTTATTTCCTTGCTTCATAAGATTCCATTTAGGCATCTTTTCACTTTTCTAGCTTCAACTATTTATTAAATTTGTTATTCACTTTGTGGAAATAAAGCGTGGCGTGGTTTCCTTTCGGATAATCTGCAAAACGACTGACCAAACGGACTAAACTTTTATTAACAAATTGACAGACTCAATACATGACATGATTTTTCTAACAATGGTAATACCAACTATTTATATAGCAACTGTACATTTTGTTTGATACCCACAGAACATGTGATACCAGAACATTAACAAATACTAACACCCCCACTTATCAACAAAATTCAAGTATTCATCAAACCAAGTAAATTTATCAGCCTGAAATGCTTTTCAGAAAGGAGGCCCTTCGTCAAAACATCTGCTGGCATAACATCAGTGGATAAATACTTCATCTGTATGACCTTATTTAATATTGTTTCTCTTATAAAATGATGACGCACATCTATATGTTTTGTTCTTCTATGATACATAGCATTGCTCGTCAAATTTATTGCACTTTGGTTGTCATTAAATAAAGTCACACAAGGTACACTTCCTATCAGTTCTTCCAATAATCCCTTTAAATATAATGCTTCCTTGGTTGCCTCAGAGCTTGACATGTATTCAGCCTCAGTACTCGACAGTGCAACTGTCTTTTGCTTTGAGCTCAACCAGGAAACCACAGAACCACAAAGTTTGAAAGCATATCCTGTGTAGGACTTACGATCAACAGCATTACTCGCCCAATCAGCGTCTACAAAACCCTGTAGTTCTGAGTCGTCTTTGGAATATTTCAATGAATAGTTAATAGTACCTTTTAAGTACCGTAGAATACGCTTTGCACATTTCCAATGACTTTCCTTGTATGAATTATTGAATTGGCTGAGAAAACTGACAGAAAAAGAAATATCTGGCCTTGTCAATACAGATAAATACATTAAACTACCAATTAATTTCTGATAAGGATACTTAGCTTTATCCTCATTAGAACAGCTTTCGTCCAAATTTAAATTTAATTTAGCCTCCATTGGAGTCTTGACTGTTTTGGCATCCAGCATATTAAATTTCTTCAATATACGCATAATATAATCTTTTTGACTTAAAATGATTACACCCTTTGTTTCATCAAAATTAATTTGCATGCCCAAACATTCTCTGATTTTACCCAAATCTTTAATTTTAAATTTGGAATTTAGCTCGATCTTTAAATTATTTACTTCTATTTTATTATTAGAGAAAATAAAAAAATCGTCTACATACAAAGCAATTATTGTGATTAAATTATTTTCCCTTTTAATATAAATACAAGGTTCAATTTTCGATCTTTCATAATTCAATCCAATTAAAACATCATTCACACGATCATTCCAAGCCTTAGATGACTGTTTAAGCCCATATATACCTTTTTTAGTTTTAAGCATTTATCATTATCAGAACAAACAAGCCCTTCAGGCATTTGCATATAAACATTTTCTTTCAGAAAACCGTTTAGGAACGCTGTTTGCACATCAAGATGATCAATACTCAAACCGAGCTTTACTGATAATGAAAAAAGTAATCTTAGACTGGAATGCCTCACAACAGGAGCAAAAGTTTCCTCATAATCTACTCCTTGTTTTTGAGAGAAACCTTTAGCTACTAATCTGGCTCTATACCTCACTAAACCTTCACAATTGACTTTCTTTTAAAACACCCACTTACATTTCACTATCGAAGCACTTTTTGGCCACTTAGCTATTTCCCAAGCATCATTTGCGTCAAAACTGTCCAGTTCTTCTGACATTGCTTTTTTTCCACATTTCTGCATCTGGTCTGGATATAGCTTCTTCAACTGTGAGAGGGTCTTCTTGACAGTCATTTTCTACACACATGTAAGTCACAAAATCATCCATTCGTTTAGGTTTTGGTACTCTTTGTGAACTTCTCCTTTTTTCTTCAGTCACATTTTTTGTTTTAGAAACAAATTTTTCATCGGTAGAATTTTCTGATGAACTTATTTTGGTATTAGTACAATCCAAAAAATCATTCTCAGTGTCAGAATCAGGATTTTTAACTTCTTGTTCAATGTTCGAATTTTCTGCAGCACTAACATCTGAAGCTGCTACTTCATTGGTATCTTCTATAAGTATATCAACTTCATCATTGATGTCTTCCATTATTTCAACATCTCTACATGTGATTATGTTGTTGATATTTGGATCATAGAGACGATATCCTTTGCTGCATTCACTGTACCCAACTAAAATGGTGTTTTTAGATTTTTTGTCCCATTTTAATCTATTGGTTTTTGGAATATGGGTCATTACTTTGCTACCAAAAATTTGAACGTGGCTTATATCTGGCTTCCTTCCATGCCAAATCTCGCAAGGAGTTTTATTATCGACAATTCCTGAAACTGTACTTCTATTTCTCAGGTAAGTTGCCGTGTTTACTGCTTCTGCCCAGAATCTTTTGTCTAATTTTGCATCAAACAACATACAGCGAGCTCGTTCAACAATGGTTCTATTTAGGCGTTCAGCTGAACCATTCTGCTCTGGGGTATGTGGAATTGAATTTTGATGCAAAATACATGTTTGTTTCAAGAAGTTTTCAAAATTATGTCCACAATATTCACCACCATTATCACTTCTTAAAATTTTAATTTTTTTTTCTGTCTGGTTCTCAACTAAATTTTTGAATTGCCTAAAATAATTGAAAACTTCATCTTTGGTCTGCAAAAAATAAACAAATGCCATCTTGCTAAAATCATCAATAAAAGTAAGAAAATATCTAGCTCCACCGAGAGATTTAATTTCCATGGGTCCACACAGATCAGTGTGTATCACTTATAGTATTCTACTAGCCCTTGAGCCCTTACTTGGAAAAAATAATCTACATTGCCTACCCTCATTGCAAGTTTCACAATTATGCTTATTTACATTTATGTTGCCTTTACAGACCATTCCATCAACTGCTCCATTTGACATTTTCTGTAGCTCCTGCTCATTCAAATGTTCTAATCTACGATTCCAAACTCTACCTGGTGCTGCCGCTAAAAAACAACTCTTTGGAACATTAGTTTCTAATTTGTAAATATTGTCAACTAAATTTGCAACACGAACCAACTGATTATCTTTGTTGAAAATTTTGCAGCCCTCACTCTCAAATATAACACTATTACCATTCTTAATGAGTTGGCTGACTGACAATAAATTTGCAGCAACCTGTGGCACATATAAAACATTTCTTATTTCTATATCGAAATTTTTCTTACCAACAACTGTCTTGATGTTCACATTTCCTCCATACTCCACAGTTATTGTCGATTTGTCGGCTATACAAATTTCACTCGGGCTTTTAACACTTTTCAAATCCACTAACCAGTCCTTGTTTGTTGTTAAGTGGACACTAGCCCCTGAATCCAAATACCATTCATCTTTTTTGAAATTATGTCCGCCCAAAAATATTGCACTGAATACGGAATTTCCAATTTTTGACTTCAAATGAGGACATTGGCTCTTGTAGTGCCCCATTTGCTTACAATTATAACATCGAATTGTTTTGATTGAACTGTCATGCGAACTTGATTGTGACAGTAACTGGTTTGACCGCGGGTTTGACATATTCCTGCCACTTTTGCCAAACTTCTGCTTTCCTTTGGAAACAAAGCCGATTAATGCATTACCTGTATTATCATCAGCTTCCATTTCTAGCAATTTAGTCTTTATGGCATCAGCTGTAATTATGATTCCACTATGTTCGATAGCTATAATCATTGGGTGATATTTATCTGGAAGACCCGCTAGGAGCAACGATCCAATCCATTCATCATCAATTTTGAATCCTGTCCCCCTTAGCCTCTGTGATGTATCAATAACATGATTAACATATGCCTCCATGTTGTCCATGTTTTCCAATCGCGCCGAAATCAGCGATCTCAACAATGATATCCTTCTCGCAAATCCAGCTTCATCATAGAGCTTTTTTAATTTATCCCAAAGCTCTTTTGCGGTCAAGGTATCCTTTATGTGGATGAATAAGGTAGAATCGATTGTCAAAATCAATTTTGCTCTAGCTTGTACCACTTTTGCGTCGTCCGATTCTGTTCCCTCAATGCATTTTTTCAAACCATCGAGAATCAGGAAATTCTCAGCAGCGAACGACCATTCTGCATAGTTTTGATGACCGCGTAACTTGGGAACACTTGCTATAAAACTGCCCGTAGCCATTTTGCACCCGAATTACCACTCTGGGACCGTAACCTATTAAATTTGTTATTCACTTTGTGGAAATAAAGCGTGGCGTGGTTTCCTTTCGGATAATCTGCAAAACGACTGACCAAACGGACTAAACTTTTGACAGACTCAATACATGACATGATTTTTCTAACAATGGTAATACCAACTATTTATATAGCAACTGTACATTTTGTTTGATACCCACAGAACATGTGATACCTGAACATTAACAAATACTAACACTATTCGCTCTTCTATTTCTTTCACGACTAGTCCGGTGTTGTCGAATGTGATACCTAGATACTTATATTTTTGACATTGCAGAATTTCCTGACCATCGTCCACTTCCAAGTTTCCGTTCTGGGTGCCTTCACATGGATATTTTGTTTTATTTATATTAATTCTCGCCCCATTCTTGGTAATCGTCTATCAGCTTTCTTATCATATATTGCATGTCCGCACTGGCTACAATGACCTGATCAACTGCAAACTGAAGAGTTAACAGGTACCTATCATTTATCTCCAAACCCATTATTCTATGGATTTTCCTATTCCAATTTTTTAGAGCTACTTGACGTAGTCCTTTATTCACTATAAACGTGTCTGTGAGTTTTTTACCTATCTTAATTCTTGATTTTGTGTCTTTATATAGTTCTTTAAGTGCCGTTATATAAGTGTGATTGATGTTGGATTGTTCTAATACCTTCCATAGTCTGGATACTGGAACTGTATCGTATGATTTTTATAAATCCACAAATGTGAGGTGGGTTTCCAAATGTCTAGCAGATCTCTTTTCTATGACTTGCTTTAGGCAAAATACGTTGTCTGTCTTCCTGCTCTAAAGCCGCACTGCTCTTCTTCTTTCTCTCTTTGAAATTTTCTTCAATAAGATCACGCAGGATTCTACCGTAACCGTATAGTCTGCTTAGTGTGCTTGTGACTGATATGCCCATGTGAGACCTTAAAAGAGTTTCTCAGTTCCCACGTTCCGCATTTCGGGGAATATCCCTTCTGGGCCGCGAGTTTTACCTGACATAAGATTCTTAACAGTCTCTATTACTGTTTCTTCAGATATCTCAACTACTTTTCCATGTACTTCAATATGTCTTGGAGAATCTAATATATGTATATTCTGGTCTACTTTTTTGTAATAGACACTTGTAGTGTTCTATCCATTGCTCTGGTTTAATAATCTGGATATAAGCTGTGTACTTTCCTGAGTTTCTGACATTTGATATAAATCTCCATACCTCTGAGCATTTCCTCCCTCCTATGTACGTGTTAATTTCTTAGAAGAAAGGAAGATAAAGAAATGAAATCTTACAAATAAATAACACGAAAATCCAGAAAAAGAAACCAAGGAAGAATTCAGAAGAGAATGAAGATAAGGGCAGCAACGCATATAAATAGAAAAGGCGAAAGTCAATTGAATTTTCTCTTCCTTGGTCCACTTTCCTATCAATAATCCAAAAGATTCCGTAGTTACCAAAAAAACACTGACGCATTAAAAATGGAAGCAGAACAAAATTAATGAACAAGAACAAAATCGCTTCATCTGTGGAAAGTTTCTGTCGTGAGTCGTAAGTTAAAAGAAAGATCCTGGGAGACACAAATCCACAACAAGCGAAGGCAATTGCCGATTTGATAAACAACAAAAATCACCAGGGGAAAATGTAAGGAGAGCTGAATTGTTGAAAGAAGGAAAGAAGTATCCTATCAACACTGGAGAGATTATTTAACCTATGTCTAAAGTGTGCGGAAATGCCAGAGAAATGTAGCTCTGCGCTCCAGAAATGTTGATGGGACTTTCCCATCCCGTAATCACCATCCTCAATATACAAGGTCTTTATAGAAATCATCACCAACCGCTTGTCACTTAGAAGCGACAGCTACCATCAAGCTCAAAAGACTATTTCTTTTAAGTAGCTTCAATTAGGATTCATCAGCTATTCCAATAAAATAAAGCTAATTTTATCACGTTAGGTAGAAGCAACAATCGCAAATACTTTAATGCCCACTTCCGATCTTCGCATCTATCAACAGTTACTATCGAATCGTGCATTGCCAATAGAGTTGTAACTTATCCAATAGATAATACAAACTTATGCTATGGGCCTTATCAAAGAATGGAGGTTTTATGACCCATTCTTCGGAAACATGCCTCAGAACGTAAGATCCTCGCGCGATTATAATGGAACGGTACCCTTTGGTACTACTATTGCAGCTAGGAGTTTATTGGTTGCGTGCATTGTATATTTTTTATTGGGTATGTATGACTTACCTTCAGCTAGACGCATCTTTAATTAGCTATAACAAGGCAAGTGAATAATTATCACTTATTTCGCACTCGGGCAAAAATACAAACAGGCATGCTCCGTTGCGTTCGATTATCTCTTGTTGTTTATCTGGTGCTGCCATCTGGGGCAGTACCACCGATAGATCTACAATCTGCCAGTTGCAGTATCTCTATCCAATATCAGCCTGGACTAGGAGAGATTTTATTAAATAGATTTTGATTAAGATAATCGTTGCTATAAATCAGAAAACGATGGGTACTACTATCAAGGGAATTTTGCGTGTGAAGAACGAATTAACTATGATTATATAGACTGTGTTCCTTCGGTGGGTACTACCCTGTGTATAAATTAATATAAGTTTTCTCTTTGCCCAACCCAAACCGAATACTTCTAATACCTCAAAAGTACGTACGCATATAATTAAAATATGTTATGGCTTGTAGCATTGTTGGGTACGACTTTTTCCCACCGAAAACCTGCTCAAACTCTTTTTCATGGAACGGCCTAGATTCGGTACTATTGCCGCCTTGAAAACAACGCTAGGAATTCGAAAAATTAACCGCTGCATGGTGCCATATGTCACTAACACATAATGGTTCTTATACCAGGGCCCAGTTATGAGAATTTGAATTATTAGATGTAACCACAATTTGGTGACCAACAACTTCATATACTAAGAAATTACCGTGGTCGTACCCGTGGGTAGATGAAATAACTCTGATTTGATAACAAAAAGGTTATGGGCATTTTACATACCATTGCACCATCACATCAGGCAATCGGCCTCTAGGAATTAATTTGGTAATATTTTTTAAGAATAGTCTCCATTAATAACGATTATTATATAAAATAGCGACTTAAACACAGGTGCAAACCCTTTTTCAAAATAAAAAAAAATATCGCAAAAGGCGATTATTAATGGTCGTACCGTGCGGCGCGCGTTAATTTATGGTACTCTTGTTCGACCCATTGTTGGTCGAGGCGATAAAGTTGTAGATGGTGAAATGCTGCTTCCTGTAGTACTCTAATTAGTTGTCTTAGATTATATGGGTGCGAAACACTCGTAAAATTGGGTATAGATTGGCTCTATGCCATAATATCTAATAAGCGGATTGCTTCAAGATAATAAAATTGGTACCCAGTTGGTACTATTTAAAAAAAAAAACACTGAGCCATGTTTATAAGTCTTTTCTTGTTTTAATTATCTATCTAAATAGGTTTGTTGCATTCCGTTTCAATAGTACTACCCAGTCCTTTAAGACGATTTATCTTAGCTATCAATCTGTATCGATACTAATAATGACGTTGTAATAGACAGTATTAGCGATTAGTGTGGGCAAAAAATGGATAAAGCGTTCAGTACTTTCAGTACTAGTTTAAATTGTGCTTACTTTCTTAATCACGCAAAGTTTTGAAATGTGATTGCAGGGAGGAATTTTAGTATAAGAGCGTTGATAAGAGTATAATCTTTGAACGACGAAGAGTAAATAAAGAAGAGGTACATGAACGAAGTACATATTACCAAAAAAAAATCTTGGAAACCAAAATGGCAAACATGCGCTTTTCAGATGGAGCGTCAGACCTAAAAAGAAGATGCAAACCAAAAGACATGTGGAATTGAGAAATAGAGAAATAGGACCCGACACATTTTGAAGATAAAGAGGGAACAAATCAATGAAGTTGCAAAAAAATTGAAGAAACGATCTTATGGATAACAAGAGAGCGCTGAAAAACGACAGCTTGTGCAGACCAAGGAAAGATATAGAAGAGAAAGAAATAAAAGAAGAAATCTTACAGAAAAAAAAAATGAAGCCCAGGAAAAAGTTGCAGAGAATGAATTCGGGAGCAAATAGAGGAAAATGAGGAAGAAAAAGAGCAAAGAAATGATAAAATAAAAGAATAACCGAATAAAAAAACTTTGATGAAGAACCAGCAGGGAATTAATTGAGAAGAAAACCCAGAAACTATATCTTGTAGATAAACACGTGAAAGTCTAGAAAAGGTTCGAGGAAAGGAAATGAAGGAAAGACTCTTCCCAGATGAAAAAGAAGA